AAAGGATCTCAACCTGCCAAAGACTAAAACTACACCCTTATCTCTCACCATGCACTAAATTAAAAATCCAAGTGGATTAAAGACCTAAATATTAAAACAGAAATACTAAACTTGCTGGAAGATAAGTTAGGCAGAACTCTGGAAGATATTGGCATAGGAAAAGACTTTATGAACAAATCCTCAGTAGCACGGGAACTAGCAGAAAGAATTAACAACTGGGATCTTATCTTATTAAAAACCTTCTGCACTGCAAAATAAATCATCAACTAAGAGACAACCTACAGTGTGGGAAAAAATGTTTACCAGCTGCTCCTCAGACAAAGGACTATTATCTAGACTATAGAAAGAACTCAAAACAATCAGCCCCCCCAAATATAAAGACCCAATTCAAAAATGGGCATTTGAAATGAACAGACATTTCTCAAAGAAGCAAAAGCAGCAAGTAAATATATGAAAAAATGTTCCACATCACTGGTCATTCAAGAGATGCAGATGAAAATACTGAGATTCCATCTCACCCCATAAAGAATGGCTGCTATCAAGAAATCACACAATAACAAATGTTGGCGGGGGTGTGGGGAGAAAGGAACCCTTCTCCATTGTTGGTGGGAGTGTAGTCTGGTGCAAACACTATGGAAATCAATATGGAGATACCTCAAAGAGCTGGGACTAGAGGTTCCATTTGACCCAGCCATCCCTCTGCTGGGTATCTTTCCAAAAGAATTAAAAGAATCATACCACAGTGATATATGTGCACCTATGCTTATAGCAGTACAGTTTGTAGTAGCTAAAACATGGAAACAGCCCATTTGCCCACCAGTTGGAAACTGGTTAAAGAAGATGTGTTTTTTCTATAAAATGGAATACTACTCAGCCATAAAGAATGAGAAATTAGAGTCATTCATAAGAAAATGGATACATTTTCACTGCTAAGTGAAATAAATAAGTCACACATGTGCAAATACTGAATAGTTTCTCTGGTCTGAAAAACCATAATAGTACACAAGATACATTTTCACTGCTAAGTGAAATAAATAAGTCACACATGTGTAAATACTGAATAGTTTCTCTGGTCTGAAAAACCATAATAGTACACAAGATCCTAATGGGATAATTAACGATGTGAAATAGGGCTAAAGGTGTAGGGAAAGTGGGAAGGGTAGGGAAAAGGGCATAAGGGAAAAGAGAAAAATATGAGAAAATGAAAAAATGGAATTAAAGTATTTGTAAATGGGGAGGGGTGAAGGGAGGGTAGAGACAAAGGGGAAAAAATGAGAACCAAGACCTGTCATGTAAAGGCACAAGATCCCAATAATGAATGTAACTGTATTGTATACCAAGAATGTACCAATAAACTCAATAAAAATAAAATAAAAACTAATGCAATTGAGGGCCAGGGATTTAGCTCAGTGGTTCCGCCGCCTGCCTCACAAGCACAAGGACCCAAGTTCGATCCCCAGTACCAAAAACAAAACAAAACAAAAAAACAACTAATGGCAATTGACAGAAGGAAAAAGACAAGAAAAGGAAAAGAAAGAAAATAAATTTGAATTAGGATAGGAAAAGGAACAAAAAGAGAGAGTAATAGAGATCAAGGTGGGAGAGAGAGAGAGAAAAGAAGATAAGAAAAAGATTAAATAGAAAAAAAATTGTGAAAAGAAAAATGTAGATAAAAATTTTTCAAATGATTGAAGATAATAGAAAAATATTACTTTGAAAAAAAGAAAGTACAAACAGAAATTGAGAGCCTCCTTCAGGGCATGCCTCTGTTGACACGACAGCGTGGGCAGGCGTGTGCAGTTCTAAATTAATTAGTCTCAACAGGCCAGCAGCTGTCCCCTGTGATCCAGGCTGATTTTTGGCTGCAAGGCCCAAGTTGAGATCTCTGTCCTCCTGCTGGGTTGAACTCTGCAAGGTTCTACTGCAGGTTCCAGCTGTCTTTCTCCTGAAGTTAGATCAGGTTCTGCTGTGAGGTGCTGCTCCCTCCTACTTACCTACTGTGGTGGCGTGATGTGCCTTTATCGCAGATTTTCTTCACTTTTCCAGTGGGCTTCAATTTTCATCTAAGAGCCTCAGAGAGGCCCTCTATCTCTTGTTCAGGGAAGTGGGGGCTGCACAAACACCATTGTGTTGGTACCGGAGAGGCTGGGTCAGAGGGGCGGGCCTACCAGAGGTTTCCGAGCTGCTGCCGGGTTCCTTTCTCAACCATGTTTATTATTAGTTTTTTTATTATTATCTTGTTGCCATTCTTGCAGGGGTCCTCTTATGTTGCCCAGGCTGGCCCTGAACTCCTGGGCTCTAGTGACTCTTCTACCTCACTTGTCCAGGTATGTCATTGGTTTTTATTTTTTAAATTTCTTTTAGAGACAAGGTGTCATTATGTAATCCAGACTGCCCTTGAATTCAGTATATAGCCTAGGCTGGCCTCAAACTCACAGCAATCCACCTGTGTCAGCCTCCAGAGCAGCAGGATTACAGGCATGCACCATCACACCTGGCTGTTCTTGGTTTTCAGAAGTATCAAGAAACAGCAATGTCAGCAAGGCCTTTTAAAAAGTACTAAATAAATACAAATAATTTTACCTTATTCTAGAATTAATATTTTCAATATGTGTTCACAGAAGCAAGTCCATATAAAACAATAATCTATTTTGCTGAATCATTCGGATAAGGGAGCTCTGTATCATTTTCATCCGAAAAAACATTGCTTCCTAGGTTCAACTGCCTAAAATGATAACTTCATTCTCTATCCCCATCCCAGCAAGAAAAGCAAAAAGTAACTTCATCGCCTATAGGATCAGAGCCAAACTCTTTTGCCAGTTCAGACCTGGCCCCCATACATAACTGTTCTTAGCAATAATTCCTGGATTTTGTCTTTTATACTTGCAGGCATTTTTTTGGTACCATGGATCAAACTCCGGTCCTTATGATTGCGAGGCAGGCATTGGCACCACTGAGTTAAATCTCTGGCCCTATACTTCTAGGAGTTTTAACAATGGTATTTCTTGTAAAACACTTTACAAATAATGTTTTTTGTTGTTGCTTTTTGTGTTTAGTTAGGTTTGGTGTGATATTGGGCCAAAAATCTAGACCCTTCACATTGAACTACATTCCCAGCCCTTTCTTGTAAATTTTTTGGGGGGCATACTGGGGATCAAACTTGGGTCCTTGCACTTGTGAGTCAGGTAGCAGAATCACTGAGCTAAATCCCTGGCCCCTTTCTTTTAAATTTTGAGAGTGATGGCTTGTAATCCCAGCACTCAGGAGGCTGAGACAGGAGGATTGCTGTATATTCAAGGCCAGCATGGATTACATAGTGAATTCAAGGCCAGCCTGAACTATGCAGCGAATTACTGTCCCCAAAAACAAAAAAAATTAAATTAAATCTTTTTGTTTTGTTTTGGGTTTTTTTTGGTACCAGGGATCAAACTCGGGACCTTGTGCTTGTGAGGCAGGCAGCGGAACCACAGCAGAACCACAATGGAACCACTGAGCCAAATCCCTGGCCATAATTAAATTAAAATTTTGAGATAGAGTCTAAGTTGCTAAATTGTCCCAGCTGGGCTCTAACTTGACAATGCTTCTGCCTCAGATAAAGTAATGGCTCATTTAGTCTTCCTAACACCTCTTGAGACTGGTAGATGAGGAAAGTGAAGTAATCAACTGACTTGCCCAAGTGGCAGCTAGGATTCAACCCGGCCTGGTCTGGATCCAAAGTCAAGATGCTTAACTACTAAAATTGTTTCCTTTGATTTCAATGTATTCCACATCTGAAAAATCATTCCTCTCCCTCCACTATTTGAGTTCTGCCTTCGTCTTTCAACATGAAGCTCAAATAAATACTTTTGCATGAAATTCTTCCTTAACGATTCCATCCCAAACTAATCCCAGCACTTGAGAGGCTGAGGCAGGAGGATCTCTGTGAGTTTGAGACCAACCTGGGCTACTTAGTGAGGTTCAGTTCAGTCTCAACTACATAGTGAGACCCTGTCTCAAAAAAAAATACCCAAACAAAAACAAAAACAAAACAAAACACCACCAAACTCTCCCTTGCTCTAGCACTGTGACAGATATTATTTCAATAACCAGTATGTGACATCTCCCCAACTAAACTGTGACCCTTTCCAATATTTTTCATATCTTCAAGAATATCTTTCATAGTACACAGTCCAAGTGGCAGCTGCTAAAACAAAAACAAGAAACAGCTTATTAAATGACTATGTAAATTTGGATGTCTGAAGAAGGCATATGGTCTGCATGCAGCCAAAAAATTATTTCAAATTTAAGTTACACTTCGCAGAGTCAAAATACCCTTTTTACACCCAGCTCCTCACTTTACTCATCCCACAACTCTGAAAGTCCTGCTTCAGTTTTTTCCACAGAAGCGTGCAAAGCACAAACTTTCTGCCGCCATCCTGCTCTCAAGCACGGAAGCGACAACAGTATGAGGCTATTCGCGGTGCCTCGCACAGCATCTAGAATTTAGAATCGCACAAAATACAAGTGAGTGGGGCGGGATGGGGGTGGGTGGCGGTGAGCGCCAAAGGGTAACTTGTGCCTGAAATGGGCAGGGAAGTGCCAGAAACCTGTAAAAGACGGAAGTACATTCCGGACCTGGGGAGCCAGGCGCCCTACTCCAACCACGGCCGAAAGAATCGGAAGGCACAATGGTGTACCTAGTAACCAGTGGCCTAGAGCAAGAACAAAAAAGTGCGGTTCTGGAGTCTCAATTTGTGAAATACTGTTTTCAGTTCTGTCACCGACAAGGCGGCAGCACCAGCCTCAGCCTCCAGGCCAAGAGGCTCCACGGGTCTCTCTTTGGGCAGTTTTCCAAATTTGCTCAAGCCAGCGGGAAGCTACCAACTCCCGCAAAATTGCTAATTTGAGACAGCCCGGTTCATGGCAAAGCATGCCACATAGGAGCGCATGCGCAAAGCCTCTCGCTGTGCGGCCCAATCGCAAAGCCCTGCTGAGTGCTACGCCTGCGCGGTAAACCTCCGGTCGCCGCTCCCCGAACCTTGCTCTAGCAGGCCGGCTTCACTGTCCAATGTCCGCCTGGAGCGGGGAGGAGGAGCTTGCGTAGTGTGCGTGTGGGGAGGGAGGCGGGGGCAGAGGGCTTTGGCCCCTGGTGTTTGACCCTTCGGTCTGTGCCGGTGAAGAAAAGCTGGAGGAAGAGGTCCGGAGCAGCGGCGGCCGAGATGTTCCGGTGTGGAGGCCTTGTGGCGGGTGCTTTCAAGCAGAAACTGGTGCCCTTGGTGCGGACAGTGTGCATCCGAAGCCCGAAGCAGAGGAACCGGCTCTCAGGTGACTGACCCATCCCAAGCAACCCCACCGCGACGTCCAAGGGCCTGGGTGCCATGGGCTCCCTCGCAGCGCTCCCCCACCCCTCGTAACTCTACACTCCCAGTCGCATGAATTACGGATTGGCGGGATACAAACCCTGAGTTTGCAAACCCACAAGTCGGCACAGCCACGCCGACCTGACCTTCAAGCGATTTGAACCTCAGTAGCCTGATCGAGGCCTTTTCCTGGGAGGGTTTGGGGTTCTGGGTAGTAGGACGACCGGTCTCGTCATACTGTCCAAAGCCGCCTCCCTGCCACCCCCGCCTCGCCTTTTTAAAGCAGTGGGGTCAAGTAGACTTTGCCATTACAGGTGGTGATACTTCAAACTGGACATTTAAGTCCCACGCCTAAGTTTTTTCTGTAAAGAAGGATCTTGGTTTTTAACATTTCAGTGAAAGGGTTTGCAGAATATGTTGTATTTACTCATGAATGATTTCATCAAACTTTAGGGCTGGAAGGGATTTTGTAGTAAAGTTTTATGGCTAATAAATTGAAGCACAGAGAGGTAAAATTACTTGCCCAAGGTCATATAATTAACAGGTAAAGCTGAGGATAATTTGCTAGTCTCTAGGCTCCTAATGCTTTTGATTCCACCCCACCCTTCTTTCTAAAATTTGATTTCAAAAAGTTATGAACTGTTTCCTTCCCAGTAATTAGCCCATTGTGCATCAGATAATCCGTGAATTTATCAGAACATGGTTTAAGCCTGATTTTTTTTTTTTTGTACCACGGATCGAACTCAGGACCTTGTGCTTGCCAGGCAGGCGCTGTGCCACAGAGCTAAGCCCCCAGCGCAAGCCTGCTTTCCTAAAATCTATACAACTTATGGACATAATGAAAAAAATTTTGTTTTGTTTTTTTGAGACAGGGTCTCACTATGTAGTTCAGACTGGCTTTGAACTCACTGTGTAGCCCAGGCTGGCCTCGAACTTGCGGCAATCTCCTGCCTCATTATTGTTTATTGATTATTGATTATTGATTATTGTTGTGGGCCACCCAGCAAGAATGATCTATTTGTAAGAGGTACATTTTTATCAGTAATCTTTGAATTAGGGCATTTGCATTTACAGTATCAAAATTATCCTTTAAGCTGGTTATGGTGGCATACACCTATAATCGCAGCTCTTGGAAATGAGGCAAGGCCAACCTGAACTATGAAAGAAACATTGCAAAACCCTGTCTCAAGCAAAACAAAAATTTATCCTTGAGGCTTTACAAGATGGAAACACTAGTTTCTTTGAGTCAGAATGTTTCCTGATGGGTGTGACTGAGTTATGTCCTAGGACACATATTGCCCTTGGAATTTAAAAACCTTTCTACCTCATCATTTAAAACAGTGTACCATCAATAGATGTCATTTGTGTGAATTTTGTAAATTCAAATAACCTGAAGATTTTCATCCACATTGGGCTTACTAATGTTATGTATTGTACTTATTTTGTTTTGTTGTTGTTGTTTTGTTTTTGTTTTTTGAGACAGGGTTTCACTATGTAATTGAAACTGACCTGGAATTCACTATGTAGCCCAGGCTGGACTCAAACTCACAGAGATCCTCCTGCCTCAGCCTCCGGAGTGCTGGGATTACAGGGGTGCGCCACCATGCCTGGCTCTTATACTTATTTTGTTTAATACTCACAGCTTTTACCAGCATTCTGAAGTCTGACCAAAGGTTCTTAGCAATTAAATATGTATTTGCAAAGTTAAATTGGTTTATTAGACATTTGAAGGTGGTTGGTAATCTTAGAACTGCTGAAAAATAATAGACTCAAATGGTTTTTTTCCATTGCATGGCTTTGTTTGAAGGCAGTCTACTATAGAAGATACTCTGACTTCTTGACATATCCATCCATCTCTTTGTACACACATTCTTTGTCTTTTGACTATACACCAGAGTATGACATCACCAGCCTTTAAAAATGGATAGGGGTAGTGTACAATTTCAAAATTATGTTATGATTCTCTCATTTTAAGAATTAACTCTTGCCGGGCGTGGTGCACACACCTGTAATCCCAGCACTCGGAAGGCTGAGGCAGGAGGATCGCTGTGAGTTCTAGACCAGCCTGAGCTACATCGTGAGTTCCAGGTCAGTCTCAACTACATAGTGATACCCTGTCTCCAAAAGAAAAAAAAAGAAAAGAAAAAAAAAGGTTCATATACTATTTTTCCTCACAGGTTATTAGCAGGTTTTGTTTTTGATTTTCCATGTTTTACATTATTAAAAATTTCTGTTGATTTAGCAGACTTTAAGCCTGCCTTGAAACTATCTTTTTGGCATCTATCACCATTATCACGTTCATTTGCTTTATAAGTTGCCTTTTGCCTTAAAAGCACAATAGCTACTATATGTTCCACTGTAGTTACTTGGTTGCTCTGTACTGTTTCAGAAATGATCAAAAGTAACTAATAGTAACAACCCTATGTCTGAGTTTAGCAGCTGAGGAGCAGATGGGTTAGGTAATAGATACTTTTTGCTCTGTAGTATTTTATTTGGTCATCAAACATTTAACTGCCCATGTGATCAAACTGATCACCAACTACCTGACCTGGGATTGAAACGTTTGACTATTTTTCTCTATTTGGAATTCTCACATCTTTAAGGAGGAAACTGCACTCCTTGTGGGTTATAATGCTAGCTTTGTGTTCATGGCCAAATGACACTTTTTGAAGCCTAGGAGTGTCTACCCTTTGTGCTTAGACAAGGCTTACCGAAGAAAACCTTTGGCAAGTCAGCCTTTTCTCTAGCTGGTTAATAAGTTAGATTTTTCTAGAAATTATCAAGCTTTGTGATGGAGCTACTGCGTGTCTCAACAGCTTTTAGACTATTTTTCCAAAAGTTTTCTGGTTACATGAATAGAGTGAAAAACAGAGCTCAAATTTACCCCCAGGAGTTCCAGAGAAACTTGGGACTGAGAATAAAAATGAATGAGAATCCAGGAGAGAGTCCTGGGAGGTTGTGAGCCCCATGTGATCAGGCAAGTGTGGAAAATATTTTTTTGGATAAGTAGTGACTCTCTCTTATTCCACTGGCCTAAGAATAAAAAACCAAAGTGAGCAGTCATGAGACTCTTGTAATTTGTGTCAAGATCGTTTTCTTATATTCAAGGACATGTCCTATTTATGCTTGTCTTCAATGTCTTGTACTCTCTGGCACATGGTAAATTCTCAGAGGCTGAATCCTAGTACTGTGAAGGACCTTGCAGAATATAGTTAAATTTGTTTTGTGTTATCTAAATGATTTTTTTTCTTTTATGCCTTCTCCAGAGTGGTTCACATGGTACTATAGTTATTACCAATTCTGTTTCTTCTAAAATTCCAGCAAGGAGTAATTTTTTAAAAGAGTTGATAAAGTTAAGTAGTTGTTGGGTTCCTTACAAAGAGGATGTAGCCCGGCATGGTAGCACACACCTGTAATCCAGTCACTCCAGAAGGAGAAAATTGGAGGAGAAATATACCTTGTAAAAATTAAAGTCATTTTAGGTATGTGAAAAGTTGGTTAGTTAATAATAATGCTTTATCACATTTCTGTTCAAGTGCTAGTTTAAATGTCTACCCATTTACTTCTTTTAAAGCCAACATACTTTTGAGGGCTGGGGATTTTAGCCCAGTAGTTCTGCCGCCTGCCTCGCAAGCATAAGGACCTGAGTTGGATCCCAGTACCAGAAAAAAACAAATAAATAAATAAATTTTGTTATTCTAGTAAATATTCCTTCTGAAATTGTTCAGTTTTAAGGGGAGATAAATTCATTTATTTTTTTTCTTCTAAAACTTTAACACTTCTTTCTTTCACACAAGACTGAACTATGTCCAAGTTAGATTGTATTGAACGGTTTTAAATGTGCAAAGTTTGAGCCATTTAATTACTCCTGAAATGGTTGTCATAATGTCCCCAATATCCTGTGTTTCTCTTTGTACAGTTGTCTCCCTGTACCTGTGGATTCCACCAACCACAGATCAAAAATACTTTTTTTAAAAACAATGTGTCAGTACTGAATGTGTACAGGCTTTTTCTTGTCATTATTCTTTAATACAGTATAGCTTAATATAGTATAGCACCTATGTACATTGCATTGGACATGATAAGTAATCTAGAGATGGTTTAAAATATTTGAGGGGATGTGTATAGGTTATATACAAATACCACACCATTTTATATAGGGGACTTGAGGATGTACACATTTTGATATATTCTAAGGGTTGTATAACCAATCCCCTGCAGATACTGAGGGATGACTGTACTACCTAGTCAGCTACCTGTGTTTACTTCACTTATAGTGAAGATGTGAAGGGAAGAGCTATTTGATGAACTTCTTATGTGTTTTTCACAAGTTTTTCTGGAAGCTGCAGATTTCCTCACTGGGCATTATTAAATTGTACTTTAAAAAACCCCACCAACCTGTCATGTAAAGGTACAAGATCCCAATAATGAATGTAACTGTACTGGATACCTAAAATGTACCAATAAACTCAATTAAAAAAATAAAAACCCCACCAAATTTTCTAAGAGGAAAGGTTTATTTCAGCTTAGAGTTTATAGTGGGTTCATTCCATAGCAGGGCAGGCAGGAGACAGTAAGCAGCAACAAAGTAGCAAAACAACAATAACTGCAGCAACAGCAGCCAAAAACTCCAGCAATTTAAGAGTGTGCATTCATATTATCTGTGCAACAGTTACTTGTTTTTGCAACAGTTGTGATTATATTTGGTTGTGGTCATTGAACAGTGAACACCGTGCAGCCCACTGTGCAGTAAGTCTACTTTTACAATGCATTGACATAACATTTATTAACTATCGTATTTTTTGTATGTGTGTCTTTTAATAAATTGTGTTCCTTTAGGCAACTTGTTCCAGCGATGGCATGTTCCACTAGAACTCCAGATGACTCGACAAATGGCTAGCTCTGGTGCATCGGGGGGAAAAATGGATAATTCTGTATTAGTCCTTATTGTGGGCTTGTCAACAATAGGAGCTGGTGCATATGTAAGTAGAAAAGCAGCTTGTGCAGAGAAGCTGCTGAACAGCTCCCGCTGGTAGACTCGGCATTACTCTGCTTTCAAACTTTTGCAACTAATTCCCCTTTCTGCTTTTGAAAAAATTTCCAAAAAGCTTTAAAGTGCCTACTGTCTAATATCCTGTGGGTGCCAACTTGGGAATGACTGAAATTTAATCTCATGTGGATTGATCTCTGCTGTTTTAACTTGTCTTTTTATTCTTGAGAACCACTGTGTTTTCTGAGATTCGACTAACCTACAAAATTCTCCCGGCTCTCTTGGATGTGACACACTAACTAACCTATGAATAAAGTCAAAATTCTTTGCAGCTCCTTAGCACAACATTTGATTTTGACCCATTTGTCAAATATTTTACTTTTTCCTCAGCTTGAGATTTATATTTTTTAAAACAGCAACAGCAACAGCCTTCAGACAAAATCCTTAAACATTCCTAAAAGGAAAACTATTCCTGAGTCTCACCCAAAGACTAAGTTAGAGAAGCAGGCCTAGTATCTCTGATTTTAGAATGGAATTTGTGTGAGGTGAGAAATAGCTGTTTAATTGCCGCATAGTATTAGCACAATTATATCTCCATAAATGAACTCAGATCAGCATAGCAGGTCACAGAGGAATTATTCTGTGGGTTTTTTTTTTTTTTGGCAAGGCTCACTGTGACTAAGCAGATCAGTCTAAAGTTGGATCCTGTAAGGTTGAGTGATCCAGCTCTGGTAACACCTACTAATACCCTTGGTTGAAGAAGGCTGCATTTTCTTACCAGCAGCAAATGGTCGAAAGCCATTTCAGTATTAAGTCTTTCTCCATTGGTAAGACAGTGAACTTATCTTTATTCCTTGGTCACTAGGTTAAGATAGGGAACTTGCAAATATTTGAAGTTACCTATATCCTCCTACCATGACCTGACTCCCAAATGCACAAGAAGAGGAAGTAGCTCTTGCCAATTGTCGGTCAACTCAGACCAGGAAATAGGTGAGGTCTTTCTGATAACGTACTTTGATGGAAGATGCATTCTCCTCCAGTCCTGGAACGTTTTTCCCTTTATCGCACAGAATAACCAAAAATGCTTCCCTGCCTTTCTGTTGAATGTTTCTTCATTAATACTTAGTGCTTTTTCTATTTCCTTTTGTTTCTTCCCTGGCCATATCTTCACCTACAGTTGTGCAGTGCCATCACATAAGATTCCCTTCTAGATCACTAGCGTCTACAGGTGCTTCTGGGAAAGATGGCAGCAGACTAGTATACTTCTTAATTATAGGAGCAACAGTCACGGGGGCAGGAGCTTATTATGTAAGATGCTTACACTAAAATATATTTTGGGGTAGGGTGGGTGAGGCCCTGGCACTAATGTAAATTTGGTCCATTAGAATATAGGAAAACATTCACAGCATGTGCTTTTTTTTTGGTGTGTTTTAAAGGGACATTGTCAGTCACTAGAGCCCTCAAATCTCATTCTTCAGACTATTGAAATCCTACCAAATATATCTGGAGCCATAAATTTACAGCCAAATCCTCATCATCGACCCTTTCTTTGAAACTTTTGCCAGTTTCATACTTTTTTATGATGCTAAATTATATTGTGCTTTAGTGCTGCATAACTAACAAGATAGTCTCAAAGAGTAAATGTTGAATAAGCAAATGAAAGTAATGTAAGCACCATTTATTTTGAACCGTTTTAGGTAAAACATAGTTTTTGTGTTTGGTGGAAAAACAACTCCACTTTCACTGTGAAAAGGCATTTTATTGAATGCTTCTGAGGAGATTCAAAAGCCATAGAAATTGTAATACTCTCCCAACCCTCCAGCCACATCCTCTACTTCAAAGTGAACTCATTTGGCAGTGTCCCTTTTGTAATCTTTTATTTGGTCAAACTATTGGTTGAAGTGGTGCAAGCTAACACATTCATGTAAATTGCTTTCTTAAGTGCCTCTCACTCACAGTCATGTATTACTCTCTAAGCCCTAACTTTTCCATTTCATATCTCTCTCAGCTTTTCCCATCATTTCTATCCCATTCATTCAAAACTAGATGTAAAAGTGTTTGTGTTAGATGTTTGCAACAGTGAAAACCTGTTAAACCTCTGGTCTGTGTTGCCATACCAGCGTTGGATGGCCTCCACAGAGTTGGCCGTGCAAATTCTCTTGATGCCAAGCCGCAAGACAGGCCCAATCACTGTTGCTTTCTCCTGTCTTAGAACTATCTAAGAAGCATAAGTTCCTCTCAAGCCATTCAGTTAAATGCCTTATTGCCCTCTGTGTTTGTCCAACACTGGTGGTAATAAAGCTATTATATTGTAGTGGCTCCAGGTTAAATGATAAGCTTTTGTCTACCTACAGCTGTTGTCAAACTATTTTGTATGCTTTTTAAACTTTTTTTTTCTTACATACTGGAGATTGAACCCAGGGCCCTCACACTGAGCTGTGTCCTCACATCTTTTTTGTCTTTTGTTTTGAGAAAGGGTCTTGCTAATTTACCGAGGCTGGGCTCAGACTTGTGATCCTCCTGCCTCTGCTTCTACAGTGCTGGGATTACAGGCATGTGCCACCACACTCATCTGTGCATTTATTTTTAGGTTTTAAATTGTTAAAAACTTGATATGAGGTGGCTTGAGGCTTTTTTTCTCTGCAGTTAGTATTGGTCTCAAGAGAAATGTTAAATTGAAATCAGCATCCAGATTTGGTGAGATATGGCTAAAAGTTGCTAAGTATTGTGTTTGTTCCTTGGACTGCCATAACAGAATACCTGAGACTGCATGGCTTAAACACCGAAAGTTTATTTCCTCATAGTTCCAAAGGCTGGAAAGTACAAGGTCAAGCTTAGCCTGGGTTCAATTTCTGTTGAGGATTCTCTTTGTGGCTTGCAGTCAGCCACCTTCTTGCTGTGTCTTCACATGGTTGGGATGGGATAGAGAACTTGTTAGGTAGTTCTGGTGTCTCTTCTCTTCTTTAAAAGGCACCAGCCCTAATAGATCAGGGTACTACCCTTAGAATCTCATTTAACCTTTATCACCTTCCAAAAGCTCCATCCCTATATACTCGCATGAGGTAGGAGAGGACATGAACATTTAGTGATTAACAGTGTCCCAGCATAACTTTTACTCATTTGTGATGATGTTCCTAATTACAGTATAATTACAGCTTTAGCAATTCCTGTGTTAGGAGCGCTTTATCTTCTTTCTATTTCACTTCATGCAAAGCCATTTGTGCCTTTTTAAAGATGTTACTATGGCCCACAGAAAGAACTACATTTCATCTTGCAATTAATTATACAGCTACAAATACATAAATTGAAACAATGTTTCAAGCAATGATACTTCTAACTGTGATATACTCCAGCATTTTTTTCTTAAAGCTGGTCTTATCCTACAAATTGATTTAACAGCTGACTAATGGTTTGAAACCACAGTTTGAGAAACATTGAACAATACTTTTGCTGCTTATATGTAAGCATGAACACTTGATTGGCATCTACCTGTGTGAGATTTTCTTCTTATCGGTGTTTTTCTCTAGGATCTCAGGAAGATCCCCAAATCTCAATTCTCTATTTAATTTTTCAGTGAGCAGAGCCAAACTGGCCTTTAAAATATTTAGTGAGATCTGGACAAGGTGGTCCACACTTGTAATCCCAGCCCTCGGAAGCTGCATGAGTTCAAGGCCAGTCTGAGGTCTCAAAAAAAGTATGATTAGTGAGATTAATTTGGGCCCTTTGCTGCTATTCTACTGATAGGATCACCTTGCCTCAATCAGAAAGCGATCTGTTAAATTGACTAAACACCATTATACCCATCTGTTTAGAAAAGTTATCTCTACTAATATTTTCATAAATTTCTTAATCTAACATATATTTGTGTCATTAACTGGAAATGTGTGCAAACTGGGAATAAGAAGCCCCTGGGGGGAAGTTAATTTTAATTCATTATGTCTCCATCAGAACATTTAGCTTAAAAGTGGATATACATTCACACAGAACCTCATTCTTTCCCTTTCCCCTCTGAATCTCAAGCTATTTCTTTGCTCTAGTGTTCATGTGTGATGCCACTGAGAAGTGGGTGTTACCTGGGCTTCAGCCATTTTTTAGATGTCATTCTCAATTAGTATGGGCCCAGTTTATTTTCTGTTCATTCTGTTGAAATCTTTTCAGGTAAAAGTCCTTTTTGTGTGTGTGCCAGGGATTGAACCTAGCCTTCTTGCATGCTAAACATATGCTGTACCACTGGGCTGCCCTTCCCTCAGCCCAAATTTCCCTTTCTTAAAAGAAAAAAGCTTAAGTATGATTAGACTTGTATGTATAATAATCTGATGCCAAGTTTAAAAAAAAACTTCCTAAAAGGGTCATATTGATTCTTTGAAGTACAAAAGAAAAATAAATGTTGTGATTTTAAAAGTTATTTTCCTTACCACCTCTCAAAAAGAAGCTCATGGGGCTGGGGAATATGATTCAGTGGTAGAGCACTCATCTAACTTACACATGGTCCTGGGTTCAATTCCCAGCACCCAATAAATGAATAAAATTTAAAAAATAAAAATAGCTCAATGTACACCAGGGATTTAGCTCCGTGGTGCCGCCGCCTGCCTCGCAAATGCATGGTCCCAAGTTTTAAAAAACCCAAAAAACGAAACAAAACAAAAATAGCCCAATGCAGTCATGCATATCTGTAACCCCAGCACTGAGACTGAGGTAGAAGGATCATAAGTTCAAATCCTGTGTGAACAACTTAATGAGACCCTGTTTTGAAATAAAAAAAAATCTAAAGGACTGGGGATAGTCTCAGTGGTATAGCACACCTGGTTCAAGCCCAAATACTGAGAAAAAAATATAAAAATTATAGTAAAAAATAAGGTCACTAATAAACTTCTATTGTGTGTTATAAAACAAACTGTAGCATCAAACTAATGGTGATACTGTTCTTCAGTTGGAAGGAATAGAAAAGATACACACTATATTTGAAATATAGTAGGTATTTAAGCAAGGTGCTTGACTCTTAGTAAATATCTTCATGGATTGTGTCTGAGACTCCTGCCTCAGTTTAAGAAAAGGATAGGCCAATAAGGGAAAGAGGACTTACTGTGTAAGAAGAAGATGCAGGCCAGGCATGGTGGTGCACTTGGGAGGCTGATGTAGGAGGATCATCGTGCATTCAAGGCTGGCCTGGGTTACCTAGAGAGTGCAAGGCCAGCTTCAACTACACAGGATCCAGTCTCAAAAACCAAAAAAAAAGAAAAAAAATAAATAAAAGAAAATAGGATACAGGTGGCCCCTTTTCTAAGTACCTGGAATGTCTATCAGAAGAACATAAAAACATACTTCCCAACTTCTACCAAGGGCCACATTGAGTGTTTTCACATCTGGTGTCCAACATAGTCTAAAATCCATTTGTGTAAACTCATTTAAACTTGATTTAAAGTTTAGGCTTGTCTAATACCTACTAGTATAAGAATTTGTTGCTTTATCTATACTTTCAAAATTAAGTACGAGGAAAGCCTCAGAATATCTGACACTGGCACATTTTCATCTGCTTTTGCATAATATTTTCACACCAGTTGTGCATACAACCAGAATCTTTGCCATAATGATTTTAACATAGAGGAACTAACTTTATGTAGACAAAAGCTTCTCATTTAATTGAAAGATGATGCTACTTTATGGTATGATTCCGCTGCATGGTGAAGTAAACTTTCTCTGTGTTTGGATCGACAGGCCTACAAGACTATAAAAAATGACCAGAAACGATACAATGAAAGAATCTCGGGGTTAGGGCTGACACCAGAAGAGAAACAGAGAAGAGCTGCATTGTCTGGTGAGTATCCCATTAGTTCTTGCTATATGTGAGACTGATAAAGGGAGCTATGAACAGTTTGAGTGCTATGATTTCCAGTTATCTTGTAGAAGTGATGCCAGAGACTGTAAGCTTCTACCAACTGTGGTATTACCCCAGAACTGAGAGCAGTTTGTTAATGTATGTAGCTCACATTTGGGCTTCAGTGATGATTATGATTATGGGCTCGAGTGATTTAGTGATGGTTATGATAACTTATCTTTACATTAGACTTTTTCCCTCCCCATCTCCATATCAGGTATTGAACTCACTACCTTGCGCTTGCGAGGCACAGTGCTATTGAGCTTTATCCTTGGCTCCTTTATCTTGGATTTTGGATGGGTGAGGTATCAGGGATCCAATTTAGAACCTTGCATTTGCGAGGCAGCAGAACCACTGAGCTAAATCCCTGGCCCTCTTGATATTACATTCTGTGTGTGTGTGTGTGTGTGTGTGTGTGTGTGTGTGTGTGTGTGTGATGAGACAGGGTCTCACTATGTAGTTGAGACTGACCTGGAACTCACTGTGTAGCCCAGGCTGGTCTCGAACTCACAGTGATCCTCCTGCCTCAGCCTCCTGAGTGGTGGGATTACAGGTGTGCGCCACCACACCCGGCTTATATTAGATTCTTAAAAGGCAAGCATAGGGGCTGGGAATTTAGCTCAGTGGTTCCACCACCTGCCTCGCAAGCACAAAGTCCCGGGTTTGATCCCCGGTACCAAAAGAAAAAAAAAAAGACAAGCTTGGCAAGAAAAACTATTAGAAAAAGAGCCATTTTTTTTCAATAAAGAAAATGTTTTTATCTGTTTTGGTCTTCAGAATTTTGAATTTGTTTAAACTTGTATTTGTTTTCCTGAAGCACATAGTCCTAGCCATCATTTCTACCCCATGATTCACTTAGTTTTTCAGAGAGGAATGTTTTAATCCTTTAATAAGGCCCACAGTCCATGTGGGTGGTTTGCATTGCTTTCTTTACTAGCAACACCTTATTCTCGAACATTGTATAATAATCCCCTATTGAACTCCTGCTTGTTCCCCCCTTATTGCTAACAAAAGGTGAAACAAACCTGATATTTTTCTGGTAGTCAGTAGAAAATGAATGGGAAAGGCAGAAGCCTTCTAATACATAGTTTCTCATATATATGTGGGGTGTTTTTGTTTTTGTTTTTGTTTTTTTTGAGGTTTGTTTTGTTTTATCAAATACTGGGGATTAAACCCAGGCCCTTTATACTGAGCTACACTTCCTTCTTGTTTTTTATTGTTTCTTTTGAGACAAGGTCTTAATAAATTACCCAGCCTAGGCTCAAACTTGTGATTCTTCTGTCTCAGTATCCCAGAGTACTAAGAGTACATGCCTGCACCACTCTTACTTTTCTCTCATCACTGAGACAAAATACCCAACACCCAAAGTTAAAGGGGGAAAGGTTTATTTTTCTTACAGTTCATAGAGGTTTTAGTCCATAACTGGCTGGCTCCAAGAATAGTTCATGGCGGTGGAAGACAGCAAAAACAACAAAAGACCTTAATACTTTCTTTCTACTTTTATTTTATTTAGGGCAGATAGCATTCACACCCTTAATCCTAGTGCCCTCAAGCCTAGCCCCACCACCAATTTGTCACACACTCTAGATTCAGTCACCTCTCATAAAACATGAGGCTTTGGGGGGATATTAAAACACAAGCCATAATGTTCTGCCCCTGGGCCCCCAAAGACTCGGCGTATCCTTTTATACAAAAAAACATTTAGTAGGCTGGGCATGGTGGTACATGCCTGGAATCCCAGCACTTGCAGAGGCTGAGGCAGGAGGTCACTGTGAGTTCGAGACCAGCCTGAGCTACATAGTGAGTTCCAGGTCAGTCTCAACTACATAGTGAGACCCTGTCTCAAAAAAACAAAACAAACAAACAAACAAAAAACCCCAAAAGGCATTTAGTCTATCTCTAAGAGTTGCCAAAGTCCTAACTGTTTTAGCATTGCTGAAAAGTCCAAGTTCAATGTCTCATGAGAATTAAGGCAAACTCTTATCTGCAAGCCCCTGTACAAATGAAAAGAAAGTTAAACACTTCCAAGGTACAATGGCACAAGATAGACATTTCCATTCCAAAAGTTATAAACAGGGGTATTACAAAAGAATGGGACAAAATCAAGTCCAGAATCCAGCAGGGCTAACATTAAATCCCATAGTTCTACTTCCAGCATCCCCGGCAATCTACGTCAAATTGTGAACTCCAAAGGGCTTTAGTGGCTTCACCCCTACAGCACTCCTGGTGGTTGTAGCTCCCGTGGCTTCTCTCATGAGCTAGCTCTGCTCCCTCCTTGCAGTTTTCCTTAAATGGTCCACGTTCTTGGCTTCTCCAAATTTCTGTGGTCTACACTGCACCTTTGGCTTCACACCTGCAGCTTTACACACTGCCTTCTCAGGGACATACTGGCTGGCCTCCCAGGCTTTCTTGTGAAATTTGGGTGGAAGCCTCTGACCCCACAATGCTTGCATTTTGGTGCTAAAACCAGTACCATGTGGTTGGTAACCCAGGTTTGCTGCCAGCTGGAGCAGTAGCCAGGCTTCCTTCTCTCTTGGCCGTAGGGATCAAGGGCCTGGATCGCTGAGCACTCTGCACCAAATGCTGAGGAACAAGTTCTCTAGGCCCCTGCCATTCTGGAACATGGTGCTCTGGGGCTGTCTTCTCAAAGCAAAGTCTTTCACTTTTTCAATTTTAAGGCTGCAAAGGATAGAGTCCTGCTGCTTCTTGTGATGCCCTCAGGCCATCTTTTCTATTCTCCTATTCCTTCTTAACAATCAAGATCTCCAATGCTCTGTCTTTTTTTTTTTCCTCTGCTCTGTCTTTACAGTTGAGGGCTTCATTGGAATTTCCTTAATGGGCAAACTCACTACATTTCAAGTCATTCTTCTGGGCTCTTTGCTCTTGATTCTCAACATAAAACTGGCTGTAAGCTCCCAACATTAGCCATGTCACTACCTCAACATTAGACTGCCTTGAAATTTCATCTGAAAGATTAATTAGCCTACTACCCTTAATCTCAGTCTCAGGCACAGTTCCTGGACATGAGCAAAACGCATACAAACTTTCTGCCAAGGTATAACACATCTTCTGGAGTCCAGCAGCCAGTGTAGTCCTTCTTCCCAGCAGAAACTTCCTGAGCCTGTTCTTTATTGGCTTTCTGGTTTTCTGAGCTCTGACCAGAATCTCCCATTCAGTACAGCTTAAGGTGTTCCAGCTCTGCTGGTTAAGCTGGCATCTCCGAACTTTCCTAACTCTTCCCTTCCCGCAAGCCAATTCCAGAGGCTCTTGTACCACACGGCCAGGTGATGTCATAGCAACAACCCCACTCCTGGTAACAAATTCTGCATTAGTTGATTTTCTCTCCTTGCTGAGACAAAATACTTGACACCCTGAGTTAAGGGGGGAAAGGCTTATTTGTCTTACAGTTCACAGAGGTTTCAGTCCATAATTGGCACTCCAAGGTGGAGTGGGAGGGGGCAACAGTTCATGGCAGTGTAAGACAGCAAAAGCAACAGGAGACCTTAACAGTGTCTTTCTGCCCCTTTTATCTTGTTCAGATTACTTAGAGTGGGTAGCATTCATGCCCTTAATCCTAGTGCCCTCAAGCCTAGCCCCACCATGAATCAGTCATATACTCTGGACTGAGCCACCTCAGAAAAAGCATGAGGCTTTAAAGGGACATCTAAACACAAGCCATAACAACCACTATACCTGGCTAATATATTTTAGGAATATCTAAATATTTAAGGTTCTAGTTCTATACAGACCTAATGAATAACACTGGCAACTCATTCACCTCCTTTCTTTCTTTCTTTTTCTTTTTTTTGTAATTTCACTTACAAAATGAATACTTCTTCCTTCCATCAGGATCCTATGAAATGTTGTTGTTGTTGTTTTGAGGTGCTGGCACATCACTGCCACTGAGCAACACCTCCAGCCCAGCAGGTGTGTTAAGCTTAGTGTAAGTGCTGTGTTTTGCTACCTTTATGTAAAGCATTGAAACAAGTACAAGGCAATTTTTATTTGTTTGTTTGTTTTGAGACAGAATCTAGCTATATAGTTCAGGTAGGTCTTAAACTTAATATGTACCCCAGGCTGACCTTGAACTCATGGCAGTCCTCCTGCCTCAGCCTCCCAAGTGCTGAGATTATAGGCATGCATTACCACTCCTGGCTCCAACCAGTTTTTTTTAAAGAGTGGCAGTCATCTAAGCCTTAAAGATTTACCATCTCTGACTGTTGCGTACAGCTCCAGGAGAGCCACCAGTTCCTCAAGTCATTGTACCAAGTCATGTTCCTTTCCTGCTTATCGGTGGAGGCACTGCTGCTTTTGCTGCAGCCAGATCCATCCGGGCTCGGGATCCTGGGGCCAGGGTAAGTAAGGTGCATGTTATTTTGCTTGGCACCGAGATATAGTTTGCAAACACCTAGCTAATGTGAACACAGTGACATTTGCCTCTTTTTAAATGACTTGGCTCTGATAAGCCTTGTTATGTTTCTGTCTAAAGGTACTAATTGTGTCTGAAGATCCTGAACTGCCATACATGCGACCCCCTCTTTCAAAAGAACTGTGGTTTTCAGATGACCCAAATGTCACAAAGACACTGCAATTCAGGCAATGGAATGGTAAAGAGAGAAGGTATATTTGTTTATATAAAATGGGCCTGACTAGCAATTTTACCTGAGCACAAGGAATAGGTTAGGATTTGCCGTAGACCATGTACAACTAATAGGAAGGATAACTTGACTGTATACTGGAGTCCACTTTGGTATCCACTTGGTCCAGCTTAGAGGCAGCAAACTGCAAAGAACATTCTGGATTCTGTTTCTAGATCTACCAACAATGGCAGTTTAACATTGGCTTCTGAAATACTAATGCTTCTTTCTCTAAGACCTTTAGATTAGATTTCTGTGGTGAAGATCAGCTTGGCCTGTGTTGTTGCTTTTTTATACTTGCCTGGACATGACTCATAAAAGCAAAAGAAACTTTAAAGACACCTTCTTTGATACCTAGCAAGCATTCAGAATTGGGAGTATAGAGTGGGAGTACTATAAGGAAGACCCTCTTTATCCGAATGTTTGCACAGAAGGCTTGGGAGTACAGGTCTAGAAGCCTTTTCTTTTTAAAGGACCCCTATGTCTCTCTATTCCAACAGGGAACTAGACTTTTTGGATATACGGGGACCAGGGGATTGAGGGAGACAGAAGGAAGGGGAGAAAAGGGGAAGTAAAAAGTGTCAAAATGCAGTATGTTTATGTACCAATTCCCTTTGATTAACGTATTTATTATGTGTTACAAATGTACTAATTTTAAAAAGGGAAGAATAAAAATAGGTTGTGCTCACCACACACATGTGCACGTGCGTGCGTACGTGATATCTCAATTCTAATACCATTTTTCTTTGGCTTTAAGCTTTCCCTCATTAGTGATCCCTTCGATAGGGGATTGATTAACTTTTACAAACCTACCCACCTCACTATCATGGTCTATTTTCAGGCAGGATGCATACTTCCAATTAAATTAGCCACCCTTAACTAATATATCATAATGAACTGTTTTTATTTTTTCGAGATAGGGTCTTGCTATGTTTCCCAGGTTGATCTCAAACACCTCAGCCCAAGAAGTTCTCCTACTCAACCTCCTGAGCAGCTAGACTATAGGCACACAACATTGTTGGCTTGTTTCAAGCAAAATTGTCTAGGAGCTAGACTTTGTTTTCCATTGACCAGCACCATTCTGAACAACTGATTTTAGTGAATATTTTAATGCCAGCCCCATCAGTATTCCCCTTGTTCTTTGAAACGTTCCTACATCTAGAGCCAATTTTCTTGGCCTCAGCACTATTGACTGACATTTGGGGCAGAATAATTTTTTGTGAGGGATGATAGTGTCCTGTCCATTGTAGGCTGTTTGTGTGTTTGTTTGTTTGGAGACATGGTCTCACTATATATTTCAGACCATCCTTGAACTAATTATGTAGTCCAGGATGGCCTCAACCTTGCTGCAATCCCTCTGCCTCTATCCCCTGAGTGCTGGGATCACAGGTGTGTGCCACCACGCCTGGCTTCGCATCATAGGCTGTTTAGCAGCTTCTTTGGCCTCTATACACCATACCAGTACCCTACCCATATTATTTCAACCAAGAATGTCTCCAGACATTGCCAGATGTCCTCTGGGGGCATCCAGGTTTGAACCACCAATCCAGAATACTTCTACATAAGTAAGTCACAACCAAGAGTTAGTCCCAGAGACTTATTCTGGAAAATGTTCCTATATTTTTTTCATGATGGACATAATTTTACTAAAGATATAAGGGAGACCTATAGTAATAACATTTCCCCTTCTTTTCCATACAGCATATATTTCCAGCCACCTTCTTTCTATGTCTCTGCTCAGGACTTACCTCACATTGAGAATGGTGGTGTGGCTGTTCTCACTGGGAAAAAGGTGAGCTCATAGGCTGCTTCTTTGTCAAGGCCTACATAGATGCCAGCCTGCACTGTGCTGATGTGAATTTCCACTTTTGTAGTTCATCAAAGAAGGACAGGGCCCTTTTAGGATTAATAATGCTTAGTGTCTCTGGCTTGAGCAAGCACTACAATCAAAGCCCAGGATACCATTCTGGTTAAACTTTCTCAAGGAGTCATATTATTAGAACCATAACCCTAGAAGTGGTTACTGTTTCTGTTTGCTCTACTGCCCTTCCTACTCCTGTTTTTCCATATTAACTTTTCTTGGGGATTTTTTTGGGGGGTGTGGGGGGGTGTTACTCGGGTTCGAACTCAGGTCCTTGCACTTGTGAAGCAGGCGGTGGCACCACTGAGCTAAATCCCCGGCCTTCTTGGGGATTACTGACAACAAATTGACAAATGTATGTTGCTGAAGGTGCAAAGCCCAGAGTTATTAGAATCCAGAGCACAAGTGGAAGGGTTCACCTTTGATAGGAATGGCACATTCCTCTCAGAAGGGGACATAACATGGAGAAGGTAAAATACAGGTCTGTAGCAAAACATTCTGCGTTAAGTGTCCTCTGTATGTAAATAACGCATAGGCCCTGCCCTGCTGAGGTCAGCAGTACTAGGCAGGAACATGGAAGATGATTAGAACACTTAGATGTGTATAAGATAGAGATGCAGTGTGTTGTGGGAGTTACTGGGAAGAGTGCCCAGTAAAGTGATGGATTCAGAGAAGACTTCATGGAAGAAAAGTCTTACAGAATGGGAAGTCTCTGGGAATGAAGTTGGCATAAATTAGAAAAGAGCAACAAGCATTCAGACAACATTCAAGTAAAATGAACAGCATGGGCTCGAGGATAAGGAAAAGCAAAGAAACAAGCAGCTAGAAAATTCAAGTTAGGGAGCAGCAGGAGACAGAACTGAGAAGTTATGCAGAAGCATGGTCATTATGGCTCTCCATTGAAGGAGCTTGGGCTTTATCTGCAGTAGGGAGCTGTTGGGTTTTAGGTGGAATGAATTTCTAATAATTACTGTTGGCTGTGACCAGGAAGGACTGCAGGAGAATAAGACCAGAGAGAACATTTTTCAGATTATTTCTGTACTCCGGGCAAGAGATGTTAAGGGACCAAATTAAGATAGTGGAGATGATAATAATAAAAGTAGAAGAAAAAGCAAAAGTGAAAATTACATAGTTGCCTAATTCTGATCTTGTAGATAGTCTTAAATGTTTTATGTACATCTCCTTTTATCCTCACAATAATCTTGTGAGGTAGCTTTATTTCCACTTCATAGAGAAGGAAATTGAGTTTTTATAAGTAAATTGTAACTTTGCCTATATACACATAGCTCATAAGAGATAGAGACAGATTTGAGCCCAGGTCTGTCTGACTTCAGATATTATGATTCTAGAGCCCAAGCTCTTCGTACTGCATTGCCTCCTGATAGAAAAGTGACTATCTGTGAGGTCCTGGCTAGATTCCCAGCACCCCAGCACTGTAAGGAAAAGAACAGGTGGTGCCGAGCGGGAAACAGACCCGAGGCCTGCTTAGGAGGCCAACTTGGCGAAGCATCTGAGTGGATAGAGGTGGGCCCCATCTGAGAAAGATGTGAGAGGAAGAACTAGTTCAAGGGGGAGGAAAAAGTTTAGTTCTGAAGTTCCGTCCTGGTGTGACATGTATGACTTTGACAGGAGGAGGAGGCCAGCTCAGGTAAGAGATTCAGGAATCATGAGTATGTGTAAGAGTTGGAACCGTGAGAGTTGGTGGGGCCTCCTGGCAAACAAGGTAGCTGGTGAGAGGAATGGGTCAAGACTCAAACCCCGGGCCACCCCAAACATAAGGAGAAGAATCCACACAGGAGACCAGGGAAGAATTGACAGAGAACCCAGAACAGAAGCTAGGGCTAGAGTGAGGAGAGAGAGAGAGAGAGAGAATTGAAATGTCCTATTCAGTTTGGCAATTTAGATAATCGCAACACTCAGGAGGCTGAGGCAGGAGAATTTCTGTGAGGTTGAGGCTAGCCTGAGATACATTATAATTTCAACGACAGTCTAGGCTGCGTAGCAAGACCCTGTCTCAAAAAAATCCAAAAACAAAACAAAAATTAATGGAGAGGTTTTTTAGGGTTCACAGTTTAGTCCACAATCAGCCAATTCCAAGGCAGAAACACCACCCATAAGTGCATGGGGAACATTTTAAATCTAAAGCATGACACCACTCATGTCACATTTGTCACTGTTGATTACATACAGTTAGTGCTTGTTAAATTGCTTGTCTTGGCTACTAAACTCTAAAGACAGAAAATATTTGCCTTTCTCATACCACTCTGTCCCTAGCATTTAGCACTGCACCTGAAACACAGTAGGTGCTCAATAAATATTTCTGGAAATGATGGTCTCACAGCTAGTAAGGCATGGAGTAGACAAAAATCCAGTCCCCCAGGCTGCAGGGCTGAAGCTGTGAAGCATAAGAAGAAGTAGCATTACTGGCTGGCCACTCAGGTGCTCATCTTGCTCCCCATGTAGACCATGGGAGGCCGTTTATTGTTACAGGGAAAAGAAACAAAGGCTTTATTCAAAGCTAGCTCCAAGGAGATGAGAGGAATAGAAGGAGACAGCAGACAAGCTCTCTTCCCTGTGGAAATGAAACTGGATCCTGAGCCCTTGAAGACCCTGAGGCCAGCATCTGCAATTCTGTCCATTCATCTGGGCTGAGGAGAGGAGGGAGTGGCAATGGCCGGTCTAAGAAAGCTCAGAGAAGCAGCTTGTCTCTGAAACAGAAATGCTCTGGGCCAGGGATTGGGCTCAGTGGTGCCGCCACCTGCCTCTCAAGCACAAGGGCCTGAGTTTGATCCCCGGTACCAAAAAAAAAAAGAAAAGAAAAAGTTCCCTTTTGTTGGTTACAGCAAGGAAATGAAGGGTGCCAGCAAGAGAACAGATCATGGACACAGATTAGTTGGAATGGAACAGCTGCCCCGAGAGAGAAATCGAAAACAAATATAGAAACCAGTGAGGCTGAGAGAAAGCTGCGAAGTTGTGAGATATTTGAAGTGGAAAACAGTGGTTTGGGAGATAAGAATCCAGACATGGCTTTGAGGGATAGTATGAACCAGGTTCCGAGGTCTTCAGTGTCTGAGGAGAAGTGGCCAGGAGTTGGCTCAGTAACCGTGATTCATAGGGATATGGGTGGTGTTCCTCAGAGGAGAGTGAAGGTGCAAGACTCCGGAAGCAGCAGCAGTTTCAGGAAGCCTGCAGAGTGCCAGCAGCTCTGCCCGGCCTTCAGTGTGCTGTGGGGGTAAACTTCCAGGATGTGTGTGTCAAACATCCTTGAGCAGGAGCCAAGGTTCAGGGAAAACAAGATATTGGAGAAAGTGTCATATAGCTAGAGGTATTGTGGGTGTAGGAGAGCTGTAACAAAGAAATAAGGACTCCAGTAGCCAAGCAGAAAAGGCTGTTCATATTATCCATTCCCACAAGTCAGGTAGGACCTTTGGAGATGGCACTGGCTGGCTTTGATGTTGGCTACTTAGGAACTTACGACTGCTTGAAGAAATGGTACCAGAAACTATGGTTCCAGTGATTACTTAGAGATGGCTTATTATTTTTTTTTTTTTGAGATAGAGTCTCACTGTGTAGTTCAAGCTATGTAGTCCAAGCTGGCCTCGAATTCATAGTGATCCTCCTGCCTCAGCCTCACGAGTGCAGGGACTACAGGCATGCACTACCACAATCAACCTTAGAGATGGTTTCTTTTTTTTTCTTTTTTTTTTTTTTTTT